CACCGCAACCTCCGCCTCCTGGGTTCAGGCAATTCTCCTGCCTCAGCCTCCTGAGTAGCTGGGATTACAGGTACACGCCACCATGCCCAGCTGAATTTTTGTATTTTTTTAGTAGAGACGGGGTTTCACCATGTTGACCAGGATGGTCTCGATCTCTTGACCTCGTGATCCACCCGCCTCGGCCTCCCAAAGTGCTGGGATTACAGGCGTGAGCCACCGCGCCCGGCAAGACGGAGTTTCGCTCTTGTTACCCAGGCTGGAATGCAATGGCGCGATCTCGGCTCACCGCAACCTCCGCCTCCTGGGTTCAGGCAATTCTCCTGCCTCAGCCTCCTGAGTAGCTGGGATTACAGGCATGCACCACCATGCCTAGCTAATTTTTTTTGTATTTTTAGTAGAAACGGGGTTTCACCGTGTTGACCAGCATGGTCTCGATCTCTTGACCTCATGATCCACCCACCTCGGCCTCCCAGAGTGCTGGGATTACAGGCTTGAGCCACCGCGCCCGGCCTAATTTTTCTACTTTTTAGTAGAGATGGGGTTTCACCATGTAGGCCAGGCTGGTCTCAAATTCCTGACCTTGTGATCCGCCCACCTCAGCCTCCCAAAGTGCTGGGATTACAGGCCTGAGCCACCGTGCTCAGCCTGAACCTGGGACTTCTGATTTGGCTGGGTGCTCTTCTTCCATCTGCAAGCGCCTTGGTCCCCTCCTCCCCTTGGCAAGAGGGCTCAGCCCCACTCAGGCTTCTCTGGTGGACTGGATGCTGGTGTGCTGCCATTTTGTCAGTGTGCAGCCATAGCCTCTTCACGTAGAAATTGGGAATAAAGTCAGGCGCGGTGGCTCACACCTGTAATCCCAGCACTTTCAGAGGCCGAGGTGGGCGCATCACCTGAGGTCAGGAATTCAAGACCAGCCTGGCCAACACGGTAAAACCCCGTCTCTACTAAAAATATAAAACTTAGCCAGGTGTGGTGGTGCATGCTTGTAGTTCCAGCTACTTGGGAGGCTGAGGCAGGAGAATCGCTGGAACCCGGGAGGTGGAGTTTGCAGTAAGCCAAGATCGTGTCACTGCACTCTAGCCTGGATGACACAGTGAGATTCTGTTTCACACACACACACACACACACACACACACACACACACACAAAGAAGGGAAAAAATTGGGAATAATAAAACATGTGCCAGGGTTGCTTTGAGGGAAGAATGAGATTCATTTAATAATAAAGGCCACTGGGCGCTCCACCGCCCCCATGGCATCTTGTGGCTTCTGCCTCTCCCTAGGCAGCCGTCCAGCCCTCAGCAGTCTCCTGGCGGCAGACCTGGGCTGTTGGGGGTGGTGAGGGGCCTGCTGAGGAATTTCCTCTCCTGCGGCCAGCCTTGACTGTTGTGATCCTTTTCGATGTGAGGCTGGCGAGGGGTGACCCTTGTGGTTTGAACTGAGGCTGAGGCCTACTCCCCTCCCGCTTAGCTGAGAAGCCCCAGGGTTAGGCGGTGTCTACGGAGGAGAGTCCTCTGGCTGGGATGCAGTGTGTTTATTGACCAGAGCTGCAGATGTCCAGCAGCGTCCAGATGTTGCTCAGCCTTGAGCCCAACAGTGCAGTATTCAGAGGGTTACTGCGGCCGTGTTTACTGGTACATCGCACCTTCCTTCTCTCCTGCTTGAATGTCTGGTTTTCTCCCTCCTCCCCAGGGGCAGCTTCTCTTCCAAGCTCTCTTCTATTCTCTCTTGAGACTCACTCTTGAGGCAGGGGGATGGTTGGGGAAGGCAGCAGGGCACGAGGAGCGCCCAGCAGGATTTTCCCGTGTCTGTCTTCACTGAGCGCCCCCCTCCCACCCCCGTTTCCTGCCTGTGGCTGTTCCCCTCTGCTGCCGGGGAAAGGGTGCATGTGGAAAGGGGGCTGGGGGGCTCCTCCTGAAATAGCTGCACTTGCAAATCCCTGGGAAGCAGCTGTGCACATCTGGCAGCCCAGAGCCTGCTGTCTGGGGTTGCGGACCTGGCTTCTGTTTATCGCGAAACTTTTTTGAGTAGGAGTTTTGCTCTTGTTGCTCAGGCTGGAGTGTGATGGCACAGTCTCTGCTCACTGCAACCTCCACCTCCCAGGTTCAAATGATTCTCCTGCCTCAGCCTCCCAAGTAGCTGGGACTACAGGCACGCACCACCATGCCCAGCTAATTTTTGTATTTTTAGTAGAGACAGGGTTTCACCATGTTGGCCAGGATGGTCTCGATCTGTTGACCTTGTGATCCGCCCGCCTCGGCCTCCCAAAGTGCTGGGATTACAGGTGTGAGCCACCGTGTCTGGTTCACACTTGGCTAGTTTTGTATTTTTAGTAGCAATGGGGTTTCTCCATGTTGGTCAGGCTGGTCTCAAACTCCTGACCTCAGGTGATCCACGGCGCCAGGCTTCAGCCCGAAACTCTGAGTCACTCGGGATGGTGGGAGGAGAGGGAAGGAGGCAACTGGGAGCCAGCCTGGCCCCTGCCTCTGCCTGTTCCAGGTGTGCTCACGGCTGCCTGCCATAAAAGGTTGGGAGACCTGCAGGAGCATTCGTCATCCTCCTGGAGGGCGGCACTGGGGCTGTCACGGGGAAGACTTATCCTTGGTGATCTTTGTTCCTGGGTGGGGCCAGATTGCCTAGCCACACCACCCTCACCCTCACCTGGTCCCCATCACAGTGAGACAAGCCGGGTGCTGCTTGGCCTCATGGGTGGACCAGCCTGAGTTCTGCTTACTCACTGAGGCTGTGCCAGGATATGTAAAGGCCACAGAACTCAGTGCCCCTCACACCCATGCTTGGTCCCAGTCCCAACTCTGCCACTCTGCCATTTCCTTTCTTTTCTTTTTTTTTTTTGAGATGGAATCTGGCTCTGTCACCCAGCCTGGAGTGCAGTGGTACAATCTTGGCTCACTGCAGCCTCCACCTGCCAGGTTCAAGCGGTTCTCCTGCCTCAGTCTTCTGAGTAGCTGGGACTACAGGCACGTGCCACCATGCCCGGCTAATTTTTTGTATTTTTAGTAGAGACGGGGTTTCACCTTGCTGGCCAGGATGGTCTCGAACTCCTGACCTCGTGATCCACCCACCTCAGCCTCCCAAAGTGCTGGCATTACAGGCATGAGCTGCTGCACCTGGCAGCTCTACCTCAGTTTCTGCATCTATATATGGGGGGAACAGCGCATGCACTTTGAAACCCACTTGTGAGTATGACGGTCTGTGAGAGGTCTGGCTCGTAGTAGGCCCTCATGGGATCACGGCATCCATTCTCCCCGCAGCCACTGACCTCTGCAGGTCAGTTCCCAGGACAGTGGAGCCAAACCCAGACCAAGTGGGAAGTTCACCTCCCTAGTACGAAGTATGGTCCTGCTACTCATTAACCTTCAGGTGCCCCTAAACCTCTGCAGAGAGAGAGAGAGAGGGGTTCCTATGGCAGTGACCACCTAGAGGCCTGCCACACCCCAGATCCCAAGCCTGGGCTCGGGGAGACCAGGAGGTGAGGAAGCACTTCTGGAGGAGAGGCGGTGCTGATGGTCATGGCCGTGGTCCCTGAGTACCTGCTATGCACCAGGCACTGCACCAGATCCTCGCAACCACCTTTGAGGGAGGTGGCCTGACCCCATTTTGTGGATGAGGACGCTGAGTTTCCGTGGAGAGGGGAATTGCCCCAGTAGTGAGAAGCTGAGATTTGAACTGCTCCGCAGGACTCAAAAAGGCTTCTAGGGGCTGGGAAGGCTGGGAGAGAAGGGGCCTTAGGGCCTGGGCCTTAGAGCCACTTAGGATCCTGCCCAACCGGCAGGAAAGCCAGATCCTGGAGTCTCGGAGGGAGCCTGGGGGCTCCAGAGAAACCTGTCAGACAGCTTCCCTGCCCCACCCAGTTTCCTGCCCAGTGGCCGGGTGCCTCCTCCCTGCAGCCTTTCCCAGGGAGTCCCAGGGGTTGAGGATGGGTCCAGGGGACCTCAGAAGCTGCTGGAGGCGCTGAGTGCCTTCTCTTACCCCTGGGAGAGTTGGGTCAGGGCAGCAAGGTGAGTGAGCAGGGGCTGCTGGTGGCAGCTGGTCCTTTACTGCCCTGCCCCCTGGGGCTCATCCCTCTGAGAGATCAGAGACATGAGCCTAGGACTCACACACAGCTGCACCCCTGGGGCTCACTGCTCCCAGGGTGTCTCATCATAGGCAGGCCCTCCCTGGGCCTTGTACCCTTCTGGGCACTCACCCCCTGCTGCACCCTATTGGAACCCCTGGGGCCAGGGCGATGATGTGGGAAGACAGGCAGGACTTGGGGATGGGCTGAAGCTGGGGGCTGGGCAAGGTGTTGGGGTACCCCACTGCGGCCAGCTGACTTCCTGCTTCCTGACTTCCTCTTTTGTGCCCCCAGTAGCCACGATGGAGGTGATGAATCTGATGGAACAGCCTATCAAGGTGACTGAGTGGCAGCAGACATACACCTACGACTCGGGCATCCACTCAGGCGCCAACACCTGCGTGCCCTCCGTCAGCAGCAAGGGCATCATGGAGGAGGACGAGGCCTGTGGGCGCCAGTACACTCTCAAGAAGACTACCACCTACACCCAGGGGGTGCCTCTGAGCCAAGGTCAGGACCCTGGGGACTATCCATGGGGCAGAAAACCTGCCTGGGTCCTGGAGAGAGGCCAGAGTGAAAGGAGGCAGATTGTGGGGGGCTCCTGGCCTGAGGGAGGAGGCACAGCTCATGCTAACAGGGGCCCACCCAGTCTGAAGGAGGAGGTGCAGCTACTTCAGGGTGCTGCATCTGGGAGGGCTGCAGAATCCTCTTCTGTGAACCGCCAGTAGAAAGGGAAGGCATAGGCCGGGCGCGGGCTCATGCCTGTAATCCCAGCACCCGGGGAGGCCAAGGCGGGCAGATCACAAAGTCAAGAGATTGAGACCATCCTGGCCAACATGGTGAAACCCCGTCTATATTAAAAATACAAAAATTAGCCCAGCATGGTGGTGTGCGCCTCTAATCCCAGCTACTGGAGAGGCTGAGGCAGAAAAATCACATGAACCCGGAAGGTGGAGGTTGCAGTGAGCCGAGATTGCGCCACTACACTCCTGCCTGGTGAAAGAGCGAGACTCTGTCTCAAAAAAAAAAAAAAAAAAAGAAAGGTAAGGCATAGATCCTGCCCTCAGGGTGCCCCCAGTCTGAAGGAAGAGGTATCATCCCTTGCCTTCTGTGAACAGAAGAATCTGATGAGGAGGCTGGGCTCATACCTGTAATTTGGGAGGCTGAGGTGGGCGGATCACCTGAGGTCAGGAGTTCAAGACCAGCCTGGCCAACATGGTGAAACCTCATCTCTATTAAAAACAAAAAAAAATTAGCTGGGTATGTTGGCGAGTGCCTATAGTCCCAGCTACTTGGGAGGCTGAGGCAGGAGAATTGCTTGAAGCCACACGGTGGAGGTTGCAGTGAGCTGAGATTGTGCCACTGCACTCCAGCCTGGGTAACAGAGTAAGACTCTGTCTCAAAAAAGAAAAAAAAAAGAATCTGATGAGGAGGCATCACTACGGCTCTCAGGGAGCCCATGGATGACAGGGGGGACACAGCTCTTTGGGTCCAGGAGCCTCATGTTTGATGAGAGAGCCAGGCCCGTATGCCCCAGGAACCCCCCAGGGATTCCCCTTTGGGTAGAGGAGGTGTAGGTCTCAAGCCTGAGGGCTCCTCTTTGGGGCTGGAGGGAGACCAGGCCTCTGCTGCTGACATGCAGGTAGGCTGAGGCTACGGGAGGAGTGACTGACTCAGCTCTGGGGCTTAGCCCGAGATGGGGATGCCCCGCCAGCCCAAGGCTCCCTTGCCCCTTTCAGGGAGAGAAGTAGCTAGACCCTAGGACCGTTAGCCACAGGTGCCTCCAGGGTCCTGAACATGCCAGCAGGTGCGCTGTGGGCAGTAGGAACAGTGTGGGTGGACTCTGGCTGGTGGGGCTCTATAAAGCTCAGCCCCTGCACACTGGTCTCCTCCCTGACAGCTGGTAGGGGTGGTAGGAGCCTCTTGGCTGGGCAGGGCCAGGCACTGCCTTGGTAGCAAAAAGTACAGCATCCAGGTGGGAAAGCCATGAAGATCTCTCCTTCTTCCCGACTAATTAGAGGGTGGAACCTCTGCCTCCCCCCTCCTGGGGCATCAGGACAGTTGCCAGGGTGTGGCTGCCTGGGCGCCTACCTGTGGCACTCCCAGGCCCACCCGGGGGATGGAAGCTAGAGAGGAAGCTGACATCTCAGCTGAGGACCCAGCTCCTGCTCTCTGAACCCACAGCCCTGACTTTCCCTTTGACCGGCTGTGTGATGTTGGTGGCTCTCTGGGCCTGTTTGCCTGCCTGTTTAGTGGGAGGGTTGCTACCGCTGGGGATGAGGAGGGTGTAATTAGACTCTGAGGTTTCAGAGTTGAAAGAGACCTGATGGGTAAGGGAGGAGAATGAGTAGGGGTCTGGGCCCCTGAGTCAGGCTGCCTTATAACCTCTCCGTGCCCAGTTTTCCCATCTGTAAAGTGGAGCCATTGATAGTACTTACCTTGCAGGGTTATTGTCTGATTATATGAGAAAATATAAGAAAGGCACTGAATTCACTGCCAGGCATGTAATAAGTGTGCAAAAAAAAAAAAAAGAAAGAAAATCCCATGATGGACAGAGCATATGGGTCCATTTTACAGATGAGGTTACTGAGGTGATGGCGATTCCCCAGGTCCCTGGTGAGAGGTAGAATGGCGAGTCATGCGCTGGGGCTTTGCGCAGGGTGGGAGGTGGTCTGGATGGCCCAGGTGGGGCTGTCTACAGCCTGCCCTGCTTCCCAGTGTTCGCCCAGCCCACCGCCCACACTCAGTCCTTGTCCCCATGGCCCCCAGGTGACCTGGAGTACCAGATGTCCACCACAGCCAGAGCCAAGCGGGTGCGGGAGGCCATGTGCCCTGGCATGTCAGGCGAGGACAGCTCGTTGCTGCTGGCCACCCAGGTGGAGGGGCAGGCCACCAACCTGCAGCGGCTGGCCGAGCCGTCCCAGCTGCTCAAGTCGGCCATCGTGCATCTCATCAACTACCAGGACGACGCTGAACTGGCCACCCGCGCCCTGCCCGAGCTCACCAAGCTGCTCAATGACGAGGACCCGGTCCGTGAGGGTCCCGGCGAAGGGGGGGCTGGGTGGGGGGGCCATTGTAGGGCTGGAGGGAGGTCATGACCTGGGCCCCTCCTGTGTGTGAGGAGTCTGACTGGGGTCCTCCTCAGCGCTGTGGGAGGGTATCCCAGCCCCTCCTTAGTGCTCACTTCCCCGAACCTGCCTTCGCCCTCCAGGTAGTGGTGACCAAGGCGGCCATGATTGTGAACCAGCTGTCGAAGAAGGAAGCATCGCGGCGGGCCCTGATGGGTTCTCCCCAGCTGGTGGCAGCTGTCGTGCGCACCATGCAGAACACCAGTGACCTGGACACGGCCCGCTGCACCACCAGCATCCTGCACAACCTCTCCCACCACCGGGAGGGGCTGCTCGCCATCTTCAAGTCGGGCGGCATCCCTGCTCTAGTCCGCATGCTCAGGTACCCATCCCTGCTCACTGCGGGAGCCTGAGACCCCCTCTCACGTGGGCCTCTCTCCTCCCTTCCCTGGGCTCCCATAAATACCCACTGAGTACCTCCCATGTGCCAGGTAGAAGCACGCCCCATCCTGGTGCCTAGTTGCTCACAGCCCAGCGAGGAACACAGGCATGTAAACAGCATGTCAGTGATCAGGATATGACACAGGCTGTGGCAGAAGAGCACTGAGATTGCTCAGAGGTGGAATCGCTTAATGGCAGGGGATGGACAGATGAGTGACGTTTGGCTAGTGAAGAGGAAGGAAGAGTTTCCAGGCAGAGGGAACAGCATATGCAAAGTCCCTAGCACACTTTATCTTTCCTGGCCTCCTACAAAATGTTCACTGGCCTCGTTTCTTGATTTTTTTTTGAGATGAGGCCTCGCTCTGTCCCCTAAGCTGGAGTGCAGTGGCATGATCTCAGCTCACTGCAGCCTCTGTCTTCTGGGTTCTAACGATTCTCCTGTCTCAGTCTCCTGAGCAGCTGGGATTACAGGCTGTCTGCCACCATGCTCAGCAATTTTTTTTTTTAGATGGAGTCTCCCTCTGTTACCCAGGCTGGAGTGCAGTGGTGTGATCTTGGCTCACTGCAACCTCCGCCTCCTGGGTTCAAGCGATTCTCCTGCCTCAGCCTCCCAAGTAGCTGGGATTAAAGGTGTGCACCACCACACCCAGATAATTTTTTGTATTTTTAGTAGAGACGGGGTATCACCATGTTGGTCAGGCTAGTCTTGAACTCCTGACCTTGTGATCCGCCCGCCTTGTCCTCCCAAAGTGCTGGGGTTACAGGTATGAGCCACGATGCCTGTCCAGTTTTTTGTATTTTTAGTAGAGACGGTGTTTCTCCGTGTTGTCCACGCTGGCCTCAAAACTCCTAACCTCAGGTGATCCACATGCCTTGGCGTCCCAAAGTGCTGGGATTACAGACATGAGCCACCGTGCCTGGCCTCATTTCTCATCCCCATCCCAGGCTGGGAGCTCCCTCAGGGGAGATACTGATGTCACTCCCCTCTGGATGCCTTGCAAGGCCTTTCTAATATGTGGCCTTCCATGTGGTAGTTACTTAGTAGAGATCTGTAGGGGACCTACTATGCGCTCAGCACAGGGCTGGGGGCTCAGAAGCAGGAGGAGTCATTGTCCCAGTTGGGAGAAGAGAAGTGCTGTTTGCTTCACGCTTAAGAGCAGGGTAGGCTCAAGGAATGATGAGATCTTTGCAAAGGGATATTTCCAGAGGGGTGTCAGTATGGGGGAGGCTACCTGGGGGAGGTGGAAACCCATGCCAGGTTCACATGTATGCCAGGGACATGTGGGGCCTGAGCATACTAACCCCTGCCCACCCCCCAGCTCCCCTGTGGAGTCGGTCCTGTTCTACGCCATCACCACGCTGCACAACCTGCTTCTGTACCAGGAGGGTGCCAAGATGGCGGTGCGCCTGGCCGATGGGCTGCAGAAGATGGTGCCCCTGCTCAACAAGAACAACCCCAAGTTCCTGGCCATCACCACCGACTGCCTACAGCTCCTGGCCTACGGCAACCAGGAGAGCAAGGTGGGCCCCCCAGCCCTCCCGAGGCCTGAAGCCCACCCTTGCGTCACCTTCCATCCTGCGTAGCCTCAGGCCGCTGCCTGCTTACTCCTTTTAGATGAGATATAGGTGCGGCTATACATGCTCCATCATGCGACTGAATTGCTAACAATTACTGTTTTGAGGATAAGGAAAAAAAATCACTCATCCTCATACAGCCACTATTGTCATTGCAATGCGCTTCCTTAAGAGCTGCTCTGTGGGCCTATTACAGATGTGTGCACATCCCTGTCATCATAACAATCTGCAATGTTGCATCTGTTTTCTACCTGATTTTTTATTTTATTTTATTTTATTTTATTTATTTATTTTTTTGCGACGGAGTTTCGCTCTTGTTACCCAGGCTGGAGTGCAATGGCGCGATCTCGGCTCACCGCAACCTCCGCCTCCTGGGTTCAGGCAATTCTCCTGCCTCAGCCTCCCGAGTAGCCGGGACTACAGGCACGCGCCACCATGCCCAGCTAATTTTTTGTATTTTTAGTAGAGACGGGGTTTCACCATGTTGACCAGGATGGTCTCGATCTCTTGACCTCGTGATCCACCCGCCTCGGCCTCCCAAAGTGCTGGGATTACAGGCGTGAGCCACCGCGCCTGGCCGATTTTTTTATTTTTTATTTTTTGAGATGAAGTTTTGCTCTGTTGACCAGGCTGGAGTGCACTGGTGCGATCTCAGGTCACTACAACCTCTGCCTCCCGGTTCAAGCGATTCTCTTGCCTCAGCCTCCTGAGTAGCTAGAATTACAGGCACCTGCCACCACACCCAGCTAATTTTGTATTTTTAGTTGGGATGAGTTTCTCCATGTTGGTCAGGCTGGTCTCAAACTCCCAATCTCTTTGCAAATGTGCATTGATAAAAAGAAAAAAAAAAAACTAACTCCCGATCTCAGGTGATCTACCCGCCTGGGCCTCCTGGAGTGCTGTGATTGCAGGCATGAGCCACTATGCCTGACATGGTTATTATTATTCTTATCATTAGTATTATTGTATTTTGAGACAAGGTCTCACTCTGTCACACAGGCTGGAGTGCAGTGGTGTAATCAGGGCTCACTGCTGCTGTGACCTGTTGGGCTCAGATGATCCTCCCATCTCAGCCTCCCAAGTAGCTGGGACTTAAGGCACATGCCACCATGCCTATTTTTTTTTTTCTTTTCTGAGATGGAGTCTTGCTCTATTGCCCAGGCTGGAGTGCAGTGGCGAAGTCTCAGCCCACTGCAACCTGCCTCCTGCATTCAAGTGCTTCTCCTGCCTCAGCCTCCTGAGTAGCTGTGATTTAAGGCGTGTACCACCACACCCAGCTAAGTTTTGAATTTTTAGTAGAGATGGGGTTTCACCATGTTGGCCAGGCTGGTCTTAAACTCCTGACCTCGTGATCCATCCACCTCGGCCTCCCAAAGTGCTGGGATTACAGGCGTGAGCTATCACACCCGGCCCCTGGCTTATTTTTTGTAGTGATGGGGTTTCTCCATGTTGCCCAGGCTAGTCTCAAATGCCTGGGCTCAAGTGATCTGACCGCCTGGGCCTCCCAAATCGCCAGGGTTACAGGTGTGAGCCACTGTGCCTGGCCTGGCCTGCATGATGTGTATGTTTTTGCTTTTGTTTTTTTGAGATGGAGTTTCACTCTTATATCCCAGGCTTGAGTGCAATGGTGCAATCTCTGCCCACCACAACCTCCGCCTCCCAGGTTCAAGCGATTCTTATGCTTCAGCCTCCTGAGTAGCTGGGACTATAGGCGTGCACCACCGTGCCTGGCTAATTTTGTATTAGTAGAGACAGGGTTTCACCATGTTGGCCAGGCTGGTATCGATCTCCTGACCTTGTGATCTGCCCACCTTGGCCTCCCAAAGTGCTGGGATTACAGGAGTGAGCCATGGCACCCGGTCCCCACCTTGATAAACAATGCTATAATGACTGTCTTTGGGCATATGGCTTTTGTCAAAGAGTGGAAACAATTCTCATCAATGGGGTTAAAGATTTTTAACACTTACAGGCTTTTACCCAAATGGCGAGATTGACTGGACTAATTTCCAGTGCTATAACTGGTAATGGTATGAATATGAATACAGTTTTGCCACATCCTCGTCAGCACTGGGTATTATCCCTTTTTCCAAAATGTTGGCTTATGTAACAGTTATGAACCTATTGGGGTGGGCTGGCCATGGTGGCTCACACCTGTAATCCCAGCACTTGTGGGAGGCCAAGGTGGGTGAATTGCCTGAGGTCAGGAGTTTGAAACCAGCCTGGCCAACATAATGAAACCCTGTCTTTACTAAAAATACAAAAATTAGCTGGCCGTGGTGGCACACACCTATAATCCCAGTTACTTGGAAGGCCAAGGCATAAGAGTTGCATGAACCCAGGAGGCAGAGATTGCAGTGAGCTGAGATCGCACCACTGCACTCCAGCCTGGGCAACAGAGAGAGACGCTATTTCAAAAAACAAAAAAACAAAAACAAAAAAAACCTATTTGGGTGTTTGGCTGGGTGTGGTGGCCAACACCTGTTATCCCAGCACTTTGGGAGGCCAAGGTGGGAGGATCACTTGCTGCTAGGAGATCAAGACTAACCTGGGCAACATAGTGAGACCCCCCCCAATCTTTATAAAAAGAAAAAAATACAGCTGGGCGTGGTGGCTCACACCTGTAATCCCAGCACTTTGGGAGGCCAAGGCGGATGGATCGCCTGCGGTCGGGAGTTCAAGACCAGCCTGAGCAACATGGAGAAACCCCGTCCCTACTAATAATACAAAATTAGCTGAGCGTAGTGGCTTATGCCTGTAATCCCAGCTACTCGGGAGGCTGAGGCAGGAGAATCACTTGAACCCTGGAGGCGGAGGTTGCGGTGAGCTGAGATTGTGCAATTGCACTGCAGCCTGGGCAACAAGAACGAAACTCAGTCTCAAAAAAAATAAAAGAAAAAGAAAAAAATACATTAAAAGAAAAAAAACGAACTATTCGTGCTTTAGCTGAAGCTCGGTAATGACAGCTGTGTAGTAATGACAGCTCTGTCTCCTGCCTCGCCCTTCCTTGTTCCCAAATTCCCTGTCCATCTCACACTCATCCCCTCTTCGCCCCCAGCTGATCATCCTGGCCAATAGTGGGCCCCAGGCCCTCGTGCAGATCATGCGTAACTACAGTTATGAGAAGCTGCTCTGGACCACCAGTCGCGTGCTCAAGGTGCTGTCTGTGTGTCCCAGCAATAAACCTGCCATTGTCGAGGCCGGTGAGTGTGATGGCCTTGAGGGTGGCTGGTGGGGGGCTCTGCCCAGCTGCCAGGCTCAGCCATGGAACCCCTATCCCCACCCCAGGTGGGATGCAGGCCCTGGGCAAGCACCTGACCAGCAACAGCCCCCGCCTGGTGCAGAACTGCCTGTGGACCCTGCGCAACCTCTCGGATGTGGCCACCAAGCAGGTGAGGGAGGTGTCTGGGCCTGGGGTTGACTCTTCAGCTGCCCCATCCAGCCTCCTGTCTGGGCATCCGACCTTAGGTACTGTGGGAGGACTGGGGGCTCTAATTCTCTCTTTCTTGTGGCTGAGGCTATAGAAATGCCTTGAAGACCCTCATCTTCAAGCTGGGGTTTTTCTGTCCCACCGCAAGGCCCACATGTCTCTCTGGGAGAAGTGGGATGTCTGAGTTAGTGATTTTCCTGGAAGTGGATTTGGCTCAGGGCCCTAGGGTGGTGGAGCAGTAGTGAGGGTGCAGAAAGGTGAGAAGCGATTAGATGTGGCTCTGCTGGGCCACTGAAGCGTGCGGCCCTCTCAACAATTGCCTCCTGGTCTTGAGGCCTTTCTTGGCCACCGTACTTTGGACTGAGGTTGGTTCTTCCTGGGTCTGAGGGCCCCAGGGAGAGGCTGATGAGGTGGAGGGAAGAGCCTGGGGCTTAGAGCCAGGCCTGGGTTCAGATCCAGCCACTAGCTGTGTGTCTGTGGGCAAGTTCCCCAACCTCTCTGAGCCTCATTGCCTCCTTTGCAGCATGGGATAGTAACATCCTCTCACAGGGTGTGGCGGGTCATAGGGATGAAAGTTCCTGGGCACACACAGGCAGGACTGACCCTTTTAGCTCATCCTGCTCCCCTTGGACATATTTGAGAGGGCCACCTGGAGTTGGCTGCTCCCTGACTCCCCCTTCCTTCCCTGCAGGAGGGCCTGGAGAGCGTGCTGAAGATTCTGGTGAATCAGCTGAGCGTGGATGACGTCAACGTGCTCACCTGTGCCACGGGCACGCTGTCCAACCTCACGTGCAACAACAGCAAGAACAAGACGCTGGTGACACAGAACAGCGGAGTGGAGGCTCTCATCCATGCCATCCTGCGCGCGGGTGACAAGGACGACATCACAGAGCCTGCCGTCTGCGCTCTGCGCCATCTCACTAGCCGCCACCCCGAGGCCGAAATGGCCCAGAACTCTGTGCGTCTCAACTATGGCATCCCGGCCATCGTCAAGCTGCTCAACCAGCCCAACCAGTGGCCGCTGGTCAAGGTACTGCGGTTAGGCACGGGGAAGGAGCTCCCTGCGGCAGGCGTAGGTGCTGTGTCGGCATAGGCAAAGCTGCAGTAGCAAAGAAGCCCCAAATACAGTGGCTTGAATAAGAGAGACATTTATTTCTCTCTCGTGTAACAGTTTAGACCTCAACAATGGCTCTGCCCCAAAATTCCAGATTCCTTCTGTCTTGTAGCTCCACCATCCCCTAGGGCAGAGCTCAGAGTTCAAAATGCAACTGAGTACCCTGGGCGGTTTCATTAGACTGCAGGTTCCAGGGCCAGGTGCAGTGGCTCACGTCTGTAATCCCAACACTTTGGGAGGCTATGGTAGGAGGATTGCTTGAGGCCAGGAATTTGAGACCAGCCTAACAACATAGCAAGACCTGTCTCAACAACAACAACAACATTTTTTTGTTTTGTTTTTTGAGACGGAGTGTTTGCTCTTGTTGCCCAGACTGGAGTTCAGTGGCGCAATCTTGGCTCACTGCCACGTCTGCCTCCTGGGTTCAAGAGATTCTCCTGCCTCAGCCTCCGGAGTAGCTGGGATCACAGGTATGCGCCACCACGCCCGGCTAATTTTGTATTTTTAGTAGAGATGGGGTTTCTCCATGTCGGTCAGGCTGGTCTCGAACTCCCAACTTCAGGTAATCTGCCTGCCTCGGCCTCTCAAAAGTGCTGAGATAACAGGCGTGAACCACCGCACCCAGCCAAGAACAACAAAAATTAGCCAGGCGTGTGGTGGTGCACACCTGTAGTCCCAGCTCCTGGGGAGGCTCAGGTAGGAGGATCGCTTGAGCACAGGAGTTGGAGGTTACAGTGAGCTATATGATTGCATCAGTGCACTCCAGCCTGGGTGACAGAACAAAAACCCATCCCTTAAAAGAAAAACAGGAGGCTGGGTGCTGTGGCTCACATCTATAGTTCTAGCACTTTGGGAGGCAAAGGGGAAGGTGAAAGGGTCACTTGAGGCCAGGCGTTTGAGACCATCCTGGGTAGTAACATAGTGAGACACTCACCTCTTACAAAAAAATTGAAAAGGCGGCCAGATTCGGTGGCTCAGACCTGTAATCCCAGCACTTGGAGAGGCCAAGGCGGGTGGATCACCTGAGGTCAGGAGTTTGAGACCAGCCTGACCAACATGGAGAAACCCTGTCTCTACTAAAAACAGAAAATTAGCTGGGCCTGGTGGTGCATGCCTGTAATCCTAGGTACTCAGGAGGCTGAGGCAGGAGAATTGCTTGAACCCGGGAGGCAGAGATTTCAAGGAGGTGGAGGTTTCAGTGAGCTAAAATCTCACCATTGCACTCCAGCCTGGGTAACAAGAGCGAAACTCCGTCTCAAAAAAAAAAAAAAAAAAAAATTGAAAAAAAATCCAAACAAATAAACAATTTCTCTCTCTCTCTCTCTTTATCTCTGTCTCTGTCTCTTTCTCTCTCTCTCTCTCTCTCTCTCTCACACACACACACACACACACACACACACACACACACGGACTGCAGGTCCCAATTCAGCAGACCTGTTATGAAAGCAAAACTCCATCTCAAAAAAAGAAAAGAATTAGCTGTGAGCACCCCCAGATCCTGTGGAATAAGTGACGTGGCTGGGGTGGTCTTATTCTCTGGAGATCTTCCAGTATGCCTGTGTCTGACCTCGGGGAAAGGTGAAGGAGGGTGGGGATACCTGAAGCTGGGAAGCTTGGGATCCTTCAGATGTCCAAGAAGTGCCCCTGATCGCTGCCCCTTTTTTTTGCCAGGCAACCATCGGCTTGATCAGGAATCTGGCCCTGTGCCCAGCCAACCATGCCCCTCTGCAGGAGGCAGCAGTCATCCCCCGCCTCGTCCAACTGCTGGTCAAGGCCCACCAGGATGCTCAGCGCCACGTGGCTGCAGGCACACAGCAGCCCTACACGGTATGTGAGCTGTTGGTGCCTGTGACAGCCTTCCTGGGAAGTCAGGGTATCCTTTGGGTGTGTGTGTGTGAATGGGGACGTCAGTTGCAAGGGATGCCAATTCCAAGTGCCTGTGAAGTTGATTCAGCTGTCAGGGTTGGGAGGAGTTGTGACCATGTCCAGGGCACCTGTCCCATGCCCCCTGCCTCTCCATGCAGGACGGTGTGAGGATGGAGGAGATTGTGGAGGGCTGCACCGGAGCCCTGCACATCCTCGCCCGGGACCCTATGAACCGCATGGAGATCTTCCGGCTCAACACCATCCCCCTGTTTGTGCAGGTGAGTCTGGGGCAGGTAGGCAGGAGAGGTTCCCCCACCACTGCTTAGAGGTCAAGGTCCCAGATTTGGGAAGCCTGGACCAGGCATCCAGAGGTCTTCGGAGGAGTTTGGAGGAAAGTGGACATACCAGGATTGACTACTTAGCAACCCCCGGATGGGCATGACTTTCTAAGCATCAAAGCAAGGAAAGAGATCACAAATGGAAGAAAAAAAATCTTGAGATTCAATCACATAAACATGAAAAACATCTGTATTTCAGAAAGAACCTTAAAAAAGCATTTTAAAAAATCAGCAAACTGGGAGAATATGTGCAAATACCGTAACAGACAAGCATTTAGACTGGGCGCGGTGGCTCACGCCTATAATCCCAGCACTTTGGGAGGCCAAGGCGGGTGGATCACAAGGTCAAGAGTTTGAGACCAGCCTGGCCAACATGGTGAAACCCTGTCTCTACCAAAAATACAAAAAATTAGCTGGGCATGGTGGCAGGTTCCCATAATCCCAGCTACTTGGGAGGCTGAAGCAGGAGAATCACTTGAATCCGGGAGGCGGAGGTTGCAGTGAGCTGAGATCGTGCCCTTGCACTCCAGCCTGGGCAACAAAGGTGAAACTGCGTCTCGGGAAAAAAAAAAAAAAAAAGAGTTTAACATCTTTTGTGTCATTGAGGTCACTGACACCAGATTCCAATGGTTAGATGAGACAGTCATGGGTAATTTCAAGGCAGCCCATAAACAACGCTCAGCCCAATTAAAGCAATAACACCCCATGGTGAGGGCCCATTTCCCACTATGGAATTGCTACAGGGTGGAGGTGGGCAGGGCTGTGGGGCGTGTTGTCCAGCCTGCCTCATCCCTTTCCACTGCTCCCTTGCTTCCTGTGTCCCCTCTCCCCAGCTCCTGTACTCGTCGGTGGAGAACATCCAGCGCGTGGCTGCCGGGGTGCTGTGTGAGCTGGCCCAGGACAAGGAGGCGGCGGACGCCATTGATGCAGAGGGGGCCTCGGCCCCGCTCATGGAATTGCTGCACTCCCGAAACGAGGGCACTGGTGAGCTGGGGGAAGGCAGGGGACTGGGTCCCCCTCCCCCAGCCATGATGGAGCCCGGCAGCCGTCTGACCTGGCTTTTCCTCTCCTCTCTGCTCAGCCACCTATGCTGCTGCCGTCCTGTTCCGCATCTCCGAGGACAAAAACCCAGACTACCGGAAGCGTGTGTCGGTGGAGCTCACCAACTCCCTCTTCAAGCATGACCCAGCTGCCTGGGAGGCTGTGAGTATCCTAGGTTGTTCTGGCTGGGAGGCTGTGAGCATCCTAGGTTGTTCTGGCTGGGAGGCTGTGAGCATCCTAG